CCTGACATTCTATGAGGCCAAGGTTATCCTGATACCAGAGCAAGACAAAGACAATACAAGAAAAGAACATTAGAGACCAATGAATCTAGACAGAAACATCTCTTAAGAATATAGACAGAAAAATCCTCAACAAATTACTAGCAAATCCAATCCAATAGCACATTAAAACAATTATACACTATGGCCAAGATTTGTCACAGGAATGCAAGGGTATTTCAACACAAAGAAATCAGTCCTTGTAATACACCACATCAACATCTCGACAGAAACAGAAAAGGCATTTAACACAATACAACACCCTTCATGATAAAAGGACCCAGTGAAACTTTGAAGACATTATAAGTGAAATAAAGCAGTTACAAAAAAAGATGACTGGGGCCTCCTTGGTGGTGCAGGTGGCTGAGTGCAGTGCTGTGAAGCTGTCCGCAGCCTCTGCAGTGCCAGTTCCATCCCCTCCGGCCTCAGAGCAACCCACATGGTGAGCAGACCTCTCCTGTCTTGCTCACTGCTCCCCTCAGCAGTGTATTGTCAGTCTGCCTGTTCTGTTCTCCACTCTGTCTCTGGTAAATCCTCTCACCCTCCCACGCATCTGGCCTGTACCCCGGTTCTTGTATAAATAAAAATAAATCTTTAAAAAAAAAGATGAAGGATGACTGTACAATAATGTGAAGGCACTTAATGCCACTGAACTGTACAATTTAAAATGGATAAAAGGGAAATTTTATGTTAAGTACATTTTACCACAATAAAAGAGTAAAGAGACATGTGAGTGGGAGAAATATGTAAGAGAATATGTATACATTTCTAAATAAAAAACATACTTGTACAATAATGAGTGCTGCTAAGAAAATTTCCATATCCAAAATAAAAAAGAGGTAAAAACAAATAAATAAAAATAAAGCAGTCACAAAAAGGACAAATTTGTATCATTCCACCTATAGGAAGTTTCTATAGTCAAATTTATAGATCTTTTTATTGTCTCCATAGATCAATAGATCAACAGATCCCCAGAGGTCAGGGGAGGAGCAGGGAAATTAACAGATAGAGCAGAGAGAATTTTTAGGGTAGTGAAAATTCTATGATGATGGATACATGTCATACACCATGTCCAAATCCACAGTATACCAAGAATGAACCCTAAGCTAAACATACCTGATCACAATGTATCAATATAGGTACAGAGTGTATACCACTTTGGTGGGGAATGTTGACAATAATGGAGGCTGAGATAAATGGAAATCTCTCTCCTTCCTCTCAATTTTGCTGTGAACCTAAAGCTGTTCTAATAAAGCCTTCTAATTCTAGGTATACACCCAAGAGAAAGAAAATATATGCCTACACAGAAACTTGTACATGAATGTTTATAAACATTTCAAGGTCATTTCACTGTATAAATACAATCCTGTATTAGCATTATTCATGATAGCCCAAAGGCACAGACAACCCAAACATCCATCAATAAATGAATGGATAATCCAAACTGTGATACATACATAAAACATGTGTTAATCATTAAAAGGCATGAAATTCTAAAGTATGAATACATGCCACAATGTGGATGTACCCTGACAACATTTTGCTAAGTGAAAGATGCCAAACACAAAGTTCACCCATTGTCTGATACCACTTAGATGAAATATCCAGAAAAGGTAATCCAGAGACAGAACACATATTGGTGGTTACCAGGGAGAGAGGAGAGAGCAACTGCTTAACAAGTACAGGGTATTCTTTTGGGGTGATAAAAAAGTTTTGGGGGCCTCCCCAGTGGCGCAGCGGTTGCTCGCAGCCTCTGCAGCGCTGGTTCGATCCCCGGCCATCGGGCGAGAGTCCCACATGGCTTGCAGACCTTTCCTGCTGCACCCGCTGCTCCCCTCAGCAGTGTACCTCAGTCCCTCTGCCTGTTCTGTTCCCCGCTCTGGCTCTGGTGAATTCTCTCACCCTCCCATGCTACTGACTGTACCCAGTGCTTGTATAAATAAATAAATAAATCTTAAAAAAGAAAAAAAAAAAGAACTCTTTAAAAAAAAAAAACGTTTTGGAATTTGACAGCAGTGGTAGTTGCACAACAGAATGAATAGACTAAATTCCACTAAATTGCTCACTTTAAAATGGTTAATTTGGGGCCTCCCTGGTGGTGTAAGGGGTTAAGACGAAGCATTATGAAGTTGTAGGCAGCCTCTGCAGCACGAATTTGATCCCCAGCCAGGAAGCAACCCAAATGGCGCAGCAGACCTCTCCTGTCTCGCCCGCCGCTCCCCTCAGCAGTATATTTCATCAGTCTGCCTATTCTGTTCCCCACTCTGTCTCTGGTGAATCCTCTCACCCACCACACCTCTGGCCTATACCCAGCTCTTGTATGCATAAATAAATAAATCTTTAAAAAAATAAATAAAATGGTTAATTTTATGTCATATAAATTCCACTTCAACTTAAAAAAAATGAAAGGGAAAAAAATTTTAATACAAAACATAAAATTTAACTTTATGCTCTTTCAAAACAACAGCTCTATTGAGATACAATTCACCCAGTTCACAATTCTCTGTGTCTTTAGTGTAATAACAGAGTTGTACAACCATCACCACGATTTTAGAACACTGTATCATCTCCACCTCCTCCTCCCCTCAAAAACCCCCAGTGGCCATTACCATTCATTCTCTACCTCCTGCCCCCCACCCCACAGCATACACTCATCTTTCTGTCTCCATAGAGATGCCTTTTCTATACATTTCACAGACATGGAATCATGTTCTATAGACCTTTGTGCCTGACTTCTTTCATGCAGCATGTTTTCAGGAATCTCCTATACTTTAACTGTGCCATATTATTATACAGTCTGTGCCATTATTAACATATAAAGGGAAACATAAAGAGAAATTTAAAGGACCACTTATGAAAAGACATTAATACAAAGGCAGATCAAGAGTCAAAAGGGAAATTAAGTGAGGATGAATCTTTATAAAATACAAATCAATAGATGTGAAGCAAAACCATTACAAGATATATGGAAAATAAGCAAACTAGGGTAAAAGAAAAAATTTTATAAAACAAATTGTCAACGAGAATATTTCCCCAAACAAAGGTATGGGAAAAGAGATGACAGGGCCTAATTAAAAAGAGAAAAGGAAGAACTAAGAATAACTGATTACCTTTGTGGATAAAAACTTTTCCTTCCAATGAGTATTTCTCAAAATGTAATCCCTGAACTGCAAGAACCAAAATCACCTAAGAACTTGTTTTAAAAAATCAGACTTCTGGTCTGTGCCCCACACAATCACCAAAGATGGGACACTGGAAACTGTATTTTGTAAGTACAACAGATGATTCTTAGGAATACTAATTGGGAACTAATCTCTTGCGCAAATTAATGCAAAAGATTGAATGTATGTAAGAGTCTAGAAAACAGTGATACGAGTAACGCACGGAAACATAATTGAAAAAGTCGAGGGGAAAAAAACACTTAAAATTTTGGCATATTGTGTTGTTCAAAAATCTTGTGAATTTGCTGTTGGGAAAAAAAATCTAAATGTGTAAGTATGCAAACCATTTTACTAACACCCGTGAAAACTACCCAGGGTATGACGTAGGGAAGCACTCTTAAATGTACGGCCTGTGGTACAGAGAGTACATAGGTAGATGTGAAATTGTTGACCATGTTAACTATTTTTATAACAAGTACAGTTACATTTAATTATCCCCATCCCCAAATCTGATAACCTAACAAAGCCAAACTTTTTGCCACTGTACATAGCACGCTACATGGACAACAGCACAAATTATCAAATACTATGTCAGACACTGACATGCAAACTCAGGAGCAGGTTATTTACTTTCGGACCAAGTTCAACCCTATTTTTCTGATCACACTTAAAACTAGAGTTAAGTTTCTCAATATTGAGATTATTGCATGGTAAAACTCAAATTTCCCTAAAAAAAATCACTAAATGTGTATATAAAGATAGCCTTTATTATGCTTGTTAGCAAAGATTCCTGAAGGTTCCAACTCACTTTAGTGAAGAAGTTATACTTTGGGTTAGCAGGGACAGAGAAAGGAAGTTTATATTATGTAACTCTCAAAGCATCTCACTAAAAGAATGTAAAATTTGTCTATTTTCCCCATATGAAAAATCATCCTTCGTCTATAAACACAAAAACCCAACTGAGGCTTATTTAGATCACCTTTATGATGCATTTGGAAACCCAATTATAGTTCATCTAACCCTAAGATGTAGATGTTTTCAACATTTCCAGACACGAATTTTGCATATCTTATCATGAAACAGCTATACTGTGGGAATGAATTAGCCCAATAGAAGTAAATAAGCTACATGGTAAGTTATGCTGCTTTCAAAGGAAATTTTTATTTATCATCACCATTTGGCTTGATGCATGAAGGTCTAGAAGCATCTGAAAATTCTCTGACACTTTTTTATTTCACAATTAATGTTTCAAAATTCAGAACTCCATAATTAAGCTTTAAAAGCAGACTAAGACACAAATGTGTGGACTTTACCAAGATCTCACATTTCCTTCCCAACAAGCAGTAAACCAATAATTCATCATTCAGTCCCTAAACCCCACTCCCCGGCTCCCTAGACATCCCTCCTATGTTCACTAAAGCCTCTTCCTCACACAAATCCAGTCTTTCTCTCTCTCTCTCTCTCTCTCTCTCTCTCTCTCTCTCTCTCTCTCTCACACACACACACACACACACACACACACACACACACACACACACACGTCTCCAAGTCTCCACACTGGCAAAACAGCCTTTCAATATTCATCTGGTTGCTTCCTTCCACTAATACTGCAGATTTGACACTCCCTACACCCTCGTTCCATTCCTACAACATTCACTACTCAGAGCCACAAAGAAATCAGCCCCTTTCCGTAGCTGCACAACTTAATTCCACACACCTCCTTCCCTGCCCCCACCCCGCCCCTTATTCGCTCTCCTGCCTTTGTTATTCAAAAGCTGCAAAGTCTGGGAAAATCTCACTCACCTCATGCTATAGGCACCAGCACCCAGTTCCTGGCCGATCCCAGACAGACTAGCATCAAAGTCCTGCACCAGCCCGGATTCAATCACTTCATCGGCCAGAGGCAGCTTCAGAGCCCAGGCCATTCTGGCTCCTTCCTGGCCCTAGGAGACACGGTTTCTCATACAAAAGGCGAGTGGTGCGATTCCACCCCAAAAGAGCAAAAACACAGACAACTCCAGAAAGCTCTCCCACCCAGGACCCACCGGCCACCCCTAAATCCGACCCGTCCAAGCCATGCCCGGGACCCTGGCTGCGCTGACTTCCAAATTCCCCCTCACCCAAGCGCTCTGCAGCCACGCGACTCCCCCTTTGCTTAACAGTTTCCAGGCGGCGCAGAGGCAGGGCAGGGTTCCGGCACCTCCGGCCCCGGGGCTGCCCCCTTGACCTCGTGGTCATTCGTTTCTCCGCCAGCAGCCCCGCAGCAGCGCCCGCCGCCCGCCCGGCCCTCGCCTCTCCCGCGCCCTCCCCGGAGGCCCCTCCCCGCGGACCAGCCTCCCTCTCCCCCCGGGCCCCGCTTCCGGTCAGTCCCACGATCACTTCCGGTCACACCTTCTCACACCCGCGGCTCCTCGAACCAAATCCACATTTCCACCGCGCCCACTCCCGCCCTCTGCAGCGCCCCGCGCCGCGGCCACGAGACGTGGAAGGGGAGCGCCCAGCGCCGGCTTGCGAAAGCCTCGTCAGAACCCCCGCGTCAACCAATCATGGCACCGCCTTCCTTTGCGGGTCGCGGCGAACGTGACGTCACCCCGTCGCTAGCCAATGAAGGCGAGACCTCGTCGGCATGCGCACTGATGATTGGCTAGCTCTGCGACTGTTCCCCGCCCCCAGAGGCGGGCCGGGCGAGCTGGGCGAGGAGTCGGCGTGTTCGCGGCCACGCGGGGTGGGGAGGCTGCTGTGGTGGTGGCTCCGGTGGCTGCCTGAGGTGCGGAGGGCTTTTTCGCCTACGCAACCGAACCCTGCACCGGAGGACTTTTTTTTTTTTAAAGATTTATTTATTTATGCATACAAGAGCTGGGGTACAGGCCAGAGATGCAGGGGGTGAGAGTGTTATAGGGCAGCCCCGATACTGAACGGGTTGCCTGGCTGTGGGTCCTCACTCGCGCGCTTACAAGGGACTTATGAATACTCCACTGCAGGCACACACAAAAGGTTAATAAAAGGTTTATTGACAAGGGAAAAGGAAAATGTACAACTCAGGGAGAAAATGGGGAAATAAAGTCTTTCATGCGTCCTACCCAATCCGCTGACCTGGAAACCCAAAAAGCACTGTGCGAGCTGGCGGAGAGCCAAAATGGGGATCCCCTCCAAAGCCCACGTGTCTGGCTTTATACCAACCTGGCTGCTTACCCCACCCTCAGGTCCCAGCCACCTTCCCTTGGGTGGGGATGGGATTTGGAGTTCCCAGTGCCTTTGGCTTTGGCGTGGGGTGGGGGTGGAGTCCACAAAGCCTGTATGGAATTAGCTTTAGGACAGCCTTTTCCCCCTAACAAGAGGACTCACCAGAGACAGAGTGGGGAGCAGAACAGGTGGATTGACTGAAATACACAGCTGAGGGGAGCAGCCGGCGAGACAGGAGAGGTCTGCTGCGCCTTGTGGATTGCTCGCTTGCCGGCTGGGGATCGAACTCATGCTGCAGAGGCTGTGGATTGCTTCATAGTGTTGTGCTTAACCCCTTGCACCAACAGGGAGGGCCCTCCTCCCCCCCCAACTCTTGACCCTTGACAGGCGCTCGTTTGCTCCTGGAACACTCTTTAAACTCACCCTCTGGAAGTCGATTTAAATCGCTTAGCACGTTAGCTTCCATTCTGCGTAACGCATTGGAACGGAGAATTGGAGATGCTGAAAGCGGTGTTGTCTTTAATAGGTGCGAGTCTCACGCGCTTGCTTTGCCTGGCATCTTCATTTACTACTTTGAATAATCGCGTAATCGCCCTGAGATTTAGTGTCCTCGTTTGAAAATTCGGGATAACACACCTATTCCCCCTTCGTCCCTGGAGGGTTAATAATAATGTCTTTTATTAAGCGTCAGCTGCATGTCATCGGTAACCCTCAAACAATCTTATGACTAGAATTGTAATTCTAGAAGTATTATGATCCTTATTTTACCACTAAGGAGAGGAGGTTAGGGGCTTCAGGTGTCCAGAGCTAAGTAGGCAAGAACTTAACTGATTCCAAACGCTGACATTTTCACCACAAGACAGTGCCTATATGTGAGAGTATTAATTCATCATTATTATTAGAAGATTTTTTTTTACAATTTGTCTCGAGTTATAATTTTGTATATGTCTGCCTTTTCCACTAGACTGATTAACATTAGAGAAGATGTCTTTTTTAAGCTTGTATTCTTAATATCTCCTGAAATAGTTTCTGCATTCAACAGGACTTTAAAATGCTTATTGAACTGAAAAAGACAGAAGGAATGCCCCTGCGCCCCGCCCCCAGCCGCGTTTCAGCCACAGCCTTCTCTCTTCAAGGGCATTAGTCTTGACCATCTTCTTACCTTACTAAGTCCAAGCATTCAAGTCTTGGTTCATTCCTGTGATATTCAGTATCTCTTCAAGTTGCCTTTTTTCTCCCTTGAGCCAGTTTTATCTCAAAACATGTGCTTGTGGATAAAGGAATGGGTTCCCGGCCCAGAGACCAAAAAAAGATGTCAAGGTCAAAATCCTTTGTACTCAAGCTTTGTATCCAGATTTCTGTGTTCATTGGGTATCTGCCTGGGATTGATTCCAGGACCCTGTGCAGATACCAAGATCCACAGAGGTCAAGTATTTGCATATAATGTGTATTTTTAATAATTATTCCTGTATTTTACAACCTATTAATTAGTACCATGCTCTATTTAACTATAGCTCTATCACTAGATATCTAATCTTGGGCAAGTAACTTTATACATCTCTAAACTTTAGTGTTTTTAGTCTATTAACTAGTGAAAAATAATGAGTTCTGTTTAAGAGTTTTGTAAATATTAAATGCAGTGCCAAGATGCCATATAATACATAATTACTCAATAAATGTTAGCACCAATTTCTCACTAGCCCATTGCTGCTTCTCTGTTAAAATTGGATCCATATTATTATCCTATTTAAAAATATTATGTTGTATGATGTGTTATGGTTGTAGTAACACTTTAATATATTGTCTCATTTAATCCTCATAGAGGTTTTTGTTTTCTTTTTTAATCTGAGAAAAGTCTCATAAAGGACAGAGTAGTCAAACTCCAGCAGACTACAAAATATTTAGAAATTATACTGAAAATTATCGGTGATTCAACAGTTCCACTCTACATATATGCCCTAGGGGACTCTCACATATACATATCAGGAAAGTTAATGAGAATGTTCATGGCAGCACTGTTTACAGTAGGAAAACAATAAAACAAATGTTCACAAACAAGAGAATGGCTAAATTGGAGTGAAATGGAATATTACACAGCAGTGAAAATGAACACGGGTTCATACTAACATGAATAAATCAATTTGGAATGGGGGGGAATTGTAGAAGTCCTTGTACAGTGTGACATCACTTTATGAAGCACAAAAAACAAAATTGAGGAATGTATTATTTAGGGAAATACACATACATTCCTTCTTAAAGGAATGAAATATTAAACATAGCTCTTAGGTGGTAGTCACATCTAAGGAAAAGCAGAGAGGTGGCTAGGGGAAGAATTCAAAAATATCTTCAACACATCACTGATGATTATTTCGGTATTATGCTTCATAACTTACCAAAAAAATCAATTCTTAGTTATGTAACACCTTATATAAATTAACAGCTGAGCCAGGATGTGTAGTTAAGTCCCTGATTCTCTTAACAGGCTTTGCTTACAGTGATGCCTCCCTTCTGGTGGTATAGTCAGTCTTAGGATCTGTATGTGTTCAGAGTAAATTACCAATAATAATGACAACTTCATATTTACTGAGCCCTTCCTAACCATCAAGCCTTGACGAGGTGCTTTATGTATATTATCTTATTTCATCTTCACATCACCCCTGTAAGGAAGGTGCCTTTATTGTATAGAGTTAATTTCCATAAAAGGGGAGGTTCCGTGTTCCCTGCCCCACCCAATGAAGGGTGGAGCTAAGCAGTGAGGAGAAGCTTAAAAAAATTTTGCAAGACATCTTGAACTTTGAAAAGAGATTTGAAGGAGGCATGTGAAGCAGAGAGACAAGTCCCACTTGCTTTTTAGCTTTAGACTTGCACCAGGGACTTGGAGACATGGAAGGAGACACATGAAGTTGAGACACATAGAGACTCTTGGAAGAGATGTGGGTGGGAGACCTGTGGGGAGGCTGACAATGGCAGCCTTTATCTCGATTTGTACTTTAATTTTGCTTTTTTCATTCCAGACTTGCCTGGCCCCTCATCTCTTTTTCCTATGGGTCCCCACCAGAAGGTGCCTTAGACTTGTGGAAAGCTTTTGGGCCTTAATGGCCCCACTTTGGGCCAATCCTATTTGTCTGGGCAGTCACCCACTAGGGGATGGGTAACTATGGGTGTTTCATTGGAAAACTATTATCCTTCCTTCCCTTCCTTCTATTAAAGTTCTTCTGCACTAAGAGAATGCTTTATCTTTATGTAGCGGATGGCAGAAACCCTTTAGAGCATGCAAGTTTTGGGGTCCCAGGCTTCCCCTCATTCTGCACACTAAGATTATTAGATTCACTTCATAGGTAAGAAAACTGAGACATAGAAAAATGACATGACTTATCCAGGTTGCCCTGCTTGAGAGTGAAGTTCGATCCCTGCCTGCCAGGAAGCTACCCACATGGCGCGGCAGACCTCTCCTGTCTCACCTGCTGCTCCCCTCAGCAGTGTATTTCAGTCAGTCTGCCTGTTCTGTTCCCCTCTCTGTCTCTGTGAATCCTCTCACCCCCCACATCTCTGGTCTGTACCCCAGCTCTTGAATGCATAAATAAATAAATCTTTTTTTAAAAAATCCCTTTTATACGTAGTCTTTTCAAAAATGAATTTTGAAGTTTGTGGAGATGAGATGTTGAATTTTCATAAAACTGTACCCATGAAGGAATATTGGAAGAAGCATGTCTTCTCACCTGCAAAAAAAAAAAAAAAAAAAGAAGCGCAAAGGGCCTGGATTCGAAATAAAACAAGAACTATTTTTATTAGACATCAGGAAGAGAAACTTGTGTAGTGAAATAGAACACTGATTCCTAAAGCCCTGACCCCTCCCAACTGGCATGCAGATCACCCTTGAGATTTTTGTCCTTGAGCTCAATTCCCCCTGAAGGGAGCTCTTACAGACTGTTTACCCCTAAATTCTATAATTGTTTGTTGGAGGTTTTCCTTCCTCTGCCTTCCCCAATGTAAGCAAAAGTGAAATTGGGATGCCAGAGCTAGAAATAGGAATTCCAGGGGCAGCCCTGGGGCCTCTGGCTCCCAAACCATCAGGGTTCCCCTGGACATCCAGCAATGCCTGTCAATAAAGTTTTTGTACTTAAAAATTCCTTCCAAAACAAGAATCAGCACCCATCCATCTGCCAGGCTTCCCGTCTCACTCATTTACTCTAGTCAGTCCTTACTGCTGGGTTCCCACAGCAATCGCTGGGCATTTTCCTCCAAGTACAGAAAGAAACCATTATCCAGGCAGCCTTTTGAGGGACTGACCATCTAACTATAACTCTCCACACCAGTCTACGCCCTCCCCAGGGAGTCTGTGAGGCCAGTCTGGCTTCTCTGAAGGACCCTGCAGTTCAGAGGAAAAGAAATCACAAGTGTTTATAGCCATGCAGTTCCAAGCGGCTGCAGGTTCCCTTTACTCCTTATCTCTAGTTCAGAAACCAGCCCACTTCTCCAGTCTGTGAAAGGCCAGTTCCCCCTTAACAGCCATCCACAGTGCAGTGGACCTTCCAGATCTGGGAGTAGAAACTATACTCTCCACAAACCCACCCTCTTCCTTTAAAGTCCTCCTGGGCCCTCTGCCAGAGACCACACTCAGCATGTCTGAGACAGAAATATCAGCTTCCACTGACTCTTCTGGTGGGAGCTGCTGGGAGCTGCCTTTCTCCAGTCAGGGCCAGTTGCTACACAGCTCTGGACACTCCCACAAGTCACGGTATAAATTGTGCAGAGCTCAGCAGAATCCTCTTTACCTGCTTCCTCCCTCTAGCCTGAAGTCAGGGACTCAACTCTCTTATTTCCTTGAGGAAAGGCACTCAGACATCTATCTGACATTTATTGAGCACCTACTAGTGTGCCCCTGGCTTGGGTACCAAGGAGTTACAGACTTGTATGAACAGGTAATATGCAGCAGTCAGTGCAGGTTTCTGTTTGCGTTTTTGCCCCATTATTTGCTGTAAATCCTGTTGATCCCTAAATCTTGCACCAGGATCTTAGATGTCTATTGCCCTTTGGGTGCAGATGCAGTGGTAGCCAGTGATCCAGAACCCAGCACAGTGCCTGGCTCAGGAATGCTGTTTCTGTGAACTCCAGGTGAGGTCTTGCTCTCACCCGTCTAGAATGTAATTCAAAACTCCCCAATACCAGATGTGGAGGGGGAAGCATCACATGAACCCCACTCCTGGAAGGTAGACAAGTAAGGAGAGACCCTTATTACAGCCATGCTCCCCCAGCTCTATGCTCAGGTGGCAGACCTGCCCCTAACATTTGCAGGCACAAGTGTTGGAGGGGAGGAGCACTAATGAAGACCCATTTTCCATCTATTCAAATTTTCTAAAGTATAAATCGAGCTCACTGTGGATGTTCTAGCCTCCTATCGTGAAAAGCATGTCTTTACAACCACCTGGAAGATCAGGGTTGAATTTGGACTTCCAGGACTCCTTGAATTTCTCTGTGAGAATGGCCCCCAATCCTGGTCCCCAGCCCACAACCTGCCTTCTCTTCCTCTTCACAGCCCCATGAAGCAAAGGCTTCATGGCTATGTTAGACACTGCAGTCTACACATCCAAACCTCATCCTCCCGTCTAACTAACAACTGCCCCTTGGCCGCCTATAGGCTTAGGAGTCTCACACCAACAAGACATCTGTTGTGGCACCCAGAGAAGGGTGAGGAAGCAGGCACTTCTGGGGTCCTAGCTACCCAAAAGCTGCCTAGATAGAGAAAAGGCACACTCCCCTGACCCTGCACCCCACGGAGAGGGGTGGGGCTGGAGGGCTGGGTTTTCTGAGTGGGAATCCCTGGCACTGACCCTCACCCTCTTGTAATGGGATTTTTCCAGGCTAAAAACTCTAAGAACAAAGGCCACTCTTGACACTTCCTTAGTCTCTGACCCTTGTTCCTTTATATCCCTACCCTGAGAGGTGAAGGAGAAACAAGCACACCTGTACAAAAGAAAAATACTGTTTATTCCACACAACTACATCAAGTGCTTCTCCCCCTCCCAACCCCCCGCCCCCGCCCCCACGCCTCACTCCAGCCCACAGCAGGCTTTGGCTCTTGTCAGGGACAGTCAGAACCTTCTTGTCAGAGCCTGATCCAAGAGTCAGGAAGGGGATCCAGGTAAGGGAACGTGATTGAATTTCCAGGACACAAAAACATCAAGGTCTTTCATTCCACATTCAAGTGTGTTCCTCAATCCACTCGGCAGAATTCTTTCCCTGAACCCCACCTGGATAAAATGCTTGGTTAGTGCAGGATCAAAGGCCCCAGCTCATTCACAGGACCATAGAAAGTTTTGGTCTTTCATTTAAAAAAACAAACAAAAGAAACTACACACAAACAAAACCACAAACAGTTAAACCATTTCTGCCCATTCTCCTGCCTTTTCAAGGCCAAGGAGTAACTGAGCTCTGGCATAAGTCCAGAAAGGAGCTTTCAAAACAAAAATTCATATCAGCCCCCTTCAGAACCTGATACCACCCAAAGCAAACAAGAAAACCACCTCAGGGCCAGGGCTGCTTCCTGGGGATCCCATGGTGGGGTTGGGGGAGTAGGGAGGGAGCAGAAGCAAAGATGGAGGGCTGGCCAGTCCCCCTGCCAGGAGAATTCAACCAGCAAACATTCTGCCCCAGTACTGTTCCTCTGAAAGCTGACCCAGCCTTCTACCAGATGAGAAACGGTTAGTTCCAGCCTTGGGAAGACAGATTTAAATGAGGGAAGAACTGAGAAAGCAGGGCCAGGCCTACCTTTTCCTGCCTTGACGCAGGATGCTGTCCTAGATGTGTGTTCTGTGCATCCACCTCCACGGACACACCCTGGATTATATGCTATTCCTGGGGCACCAGCGGGACCCCTTATCTCTCCCCCAAAAGAAAGCATATCTGAAATTAGTGTTTGAGGGTGAAAACCTGCATCTCTCTAACTCACTGAAGTTTAAGTCACTGAACCCTGTCCACACGCCAGTACTTTAACTACTCTTATTGAAAACGTGTTTACAATGCCCCTCCCAGGGGAGGGCCTCATCTCAATAAGACAGGTGATAATCCTGAATTTGAGTATGTACCTCCCCCTTGGAGATTTAGTCTCTGCTGGGAGGCAGCAGGGGGAGACAAGATGCCCCCTAACTTCCTCAGTCCCTCATGCCCTTCAATGCCCCCACCCTGCCCCACTTCCTGCCACACTGTGAGAGGTTTGGTTGGTCCAAATATAGCAGCAGGGGGTGGGGGGGCGCAGAGAGAGAGAGAGAAATAGAGGGGAGGGGGGGCAGGCAATTTGATACACAACTGTCCTCTCATTGCAGGGCTTATGAAGAGGGTAACCACCCTGGCATTATGGAGCCAGCTGTGGGCAGTAAAGGAAACGCAGCATGCAGAGGAAGCAAGCAGGCTAAGGGGCTCTGCACCAGTGACCAACAGAGAGGGCCAGGTGCTCTCTCCTGGCAGTCACCTCAGGGTGGATCAAGCGAGGCGCATAGACACCTGGCTTTGGGAGGACAAGAGCATGAAGAGGGGGTGGCTGACCTCTGTGACCTGTGGTCCTTTAGGGACAGTCTACGCAGCAAGCCTGGGCTATGTGAGCAGCCCCCTCAGTGTTCTCCTACTAGATCTCACAGAGTTCCAGGGAGCAAGCAGCTCAGCCACAGCAAGACTGAAACACACTAAGCAGCCTGGCTGATGTGCCACAGCTCCCTCTGTAGGGCAGAATGTACCCTGCTCCAGGGGCATTTTCTCAGCACTGGGACATTGCTCCCACAAACACAAGGTCAAGAGTCTGGACTAGATATTTCTCCTCCAGGATCCAGGGTTTAAATTTACAGCGAAAATTAGAGTTAAGTCACCTTCCATGAGAGACCTTTGTGGGCTGCCATCCCATCAGCTCCTTCTGTAGGTTCACCTTTCCCCCAGGCCTTGCTGTCTAGTTATTGTTTAATTTGCCCCTTCTCGTACCAGGTTGGAGGTGAGTGTCAGGACAGGAGGAGAGTCAATGTTCCTCTCGTCACTTTACTCCAGGTGCCTGCTTGCTCAGGCAGTAGGATTTTCTAGGGTGCCAGTTCTCTTACTCACATTGTGTGTGGGTGGGGAGGTGCTGGGGAGGGCAGGGAGGTTGGGCCATGGACAAGGATTAGATTAAAATCTGCAAAGATGACCTTACTTACTAAGTTCCCCACCTGCTGCAGACCCAGGTCAATTGCAACATGGCTGGAGTTCACTGCTGAGTCCTCCTAACACTGATCACAAAAGGTTCTGCTTTAGTGTAATCCTCCCCCTGACTGCCTCCCCCGCCCCACAGGAACAGGGAGAGGGGAGAGGGGGGTCACATGCTCTAGCACAGGGCTGTGTGGGAAGCTTCTGACCTCAAGGTCAAGGCAGACACTGAGTCTGACCCTCTGAGCAGTACATCACACTTTTCTGCACGGGTCCTTCCAGGGGCCTTTGCCTGTCAGCAAAGCAGGTGCAGCCGTGCTCCGGGGAGGAGCGCCGTGCCTGCACTCACACAGAGGAGCAAAGGAGAAACAGGAACAGAACCACCAAAAACAGGAACGAATGGCCAGTGGTCTGCGAGGGAATCCTCACAGGCCACCCCACGACAAGGAGGTTCTGGTTCCCAGCCAGAATTCACCCTTCAAAGACCAAGCTAGCAAAGTGCTTCTTTAAATGACACCACAAACCCTCTCCCTCAGCGCCCCAGCCCTGAGCCTGGGGCTCCGGGTGGGCCCCTCTGCCCTCCCCGTGACGTGAGCTATGGGGGACTGATGCACATGCACACAGCGGAGCCTCACGACCTGGGACAAGCACGTTCGCGTGTGGCAGAATGACAGCACAGTCACAGCGGTGGCTGCAGCTGGTGCCAAGGGACAAGTACAAAGTGCTGAGACTAGGGCTGGGGCCGAGCCCTAAGGAATCTGAAAGACATTCAGCTTGCTGGTGTTCTTGAGCGTCTGGCGCCGGTTGCAGAACCAGACCCTCACCACCTCCCGGTCATAGTTGAGCTCCTTAGCAATCTCGGTGATCTCCTGGCCCGTGGGCAGTGGGTTCTTCTCGAAGTAGGCGTTGAGAGCCTCGATGGCCTGGGGGGTGAAGGAGGTGCGGCGTTTGCGTTTCTTGGAGGGCTCGCCTCCCACAAACTCCATCAGGTTCTGCTGACCTTCCTGGTTCCGGAGCTCAGCTTCATTCAGCCACTTCTCCAGCACCGGTTTCAGCTTCTGGGCACTCTTAGGTGTGATGTCCAGCTTCTCGAACCTACAGGGAACCCAAGGCCAGGAAGGGGTCGTGAGAATGTCTTAATTCCCAAAGCCACTGCCCTCTCAGAGCTAGTGAGGCCCACTAGGTGTCCCCCTCACTACTTCCACCAACACCCCTCAGGCTGGGCTGGGCCGGGCCTGACTCCTCAGTCTCTTCTGAGTCCCAGGTCGGACCAAAGAGACCATTCTCACAGCCTCAGTTCAGTGATGCAGTGATAACAGCGTGACCACTTTATGGGAAGACGAGCGAGATCTCTTGAGGGGTCATCTTGGGAGGCCTCCAGACAGCACGTGGATGTCCTGTGTGCTGCCCGCCTCCGGTGATGCTCTCACAGCAGTGTCCCTAAGTCAGACCACCCAGGTAGGGCTGCAGAATCCCTCAGGGAACTGACAGACAGGTGGGGCCTCTTGGCTACCCCCGAGTCATGCACTGGTTCTCATTCAGCCACCCATCCTTTGATAGTAACATCAGATCTGGTTCATACATTGCACACAGAAAAGTCAGCAATAACACTTCAGGGTTGCACCTTATGTGGGGGGAGGTGGGAGCATAATAGGAGTGATGACAGGCTGCTGTGCAGAGCCAAGCCAGAACTAAAGGTCTCATTTTCGTAAAGAATTTCCTAAGCTGTATTCCTTTTCCTGTAGAATTCCTGAATGGATTACGGTCTTGGTTTCCCCCCAAAAGACTCAGGCTTCGAGAATAAACTTCAGAGGACCAGCTCAGAAGGACCGTATCAGTCTTTGACTACTCCAAATGTTCATTCAACACTTAGAACACCCTTCCTCACCTGGAAGAAGGCAGGAATGGTGGGGGGATGGGATATCTGGAAAGAGGCCAGACACCTGGGATCGAGGGAGTGACTCATGACCCAGGTACCTCAGCTGGCCCTAAGCAAGCCCTGTCCGGGGCAACCTTACTCACCGGCAGATGGCTGACTGGCTGTAGGCTGGCCCTTCTGTCGCAGTCAAAGCCTGACCCACCTGGGTCTGTGTGAGGCCCAGAGAGAGCCTCCGGATCTTGAAGTTCTTGGCAAATTCCCGGATCTCTTCTAAGTTGATGCCATCCTCATCCAGACTTGTGGTATGTGGCTCTAGGCCAGAAGAAGGGACCAGAGGTGAATGTGTAAGACAGATAATCTTCACTACTTATTTAGCCCACTGGCCTAGTCAGGTGCAGTGGTGAGGGAGGAGCACATTTGGCAAAAGGCCTGTGCATCCTTAAGACCCTCAGGGGTGCCTGTCCCCAAAATAATCAAGACTTGGGGGGAGAGGGATCTAGACCAACTTGTATGGAGACAGGGGTCTACTTTAAAGTTGCTCCAGCTCTAACTGCTGATTCTTCCCCCATTTTCCCTACGCCTGGCCCCAAGCACACCTGTTGGCCATTCGCATTCCTCAAATACTGGGTGGGAGGTCACAGGAGAGGCAAGGCTTAGCTTCTCAGAGAAGCCAGCTGGACAGCCAGCTAAGCAGCCTGCACTATCATCATGCCTAGAATCCAACTCGACAGGAATGAAAATAAGAAAGCTAATCCCTGCATTGTGTCTCTGCCCTTCCTCTTTGGACTCTAGCGTTTTTTGTTGGTTTTCTTTACCTCCCACCCCCTGAACTCCAGGGTTTTTATTAAAAAGAAAGGCTTCAAAAGAGGTCAGGGTGCCTGAGTATTGCCTTTCGCCTTTTCCACAACCTTCTCCAGGAGCCACTTACTGGACACCAACTGGCTGACAGTAGGGGTCTCTGAGCAGGTAATTGGAATAGGAGCAGAAGGAGATGGCTTGGCCGCTGGGACTGGGCTGGCGATGACCACACCGGGCTGGGGTATGGCTGGCGTGGGCTGGATGGACTGCACCTATGAGAAGAGAGTCAGTAAGCCCCCACTGCCCACCTACCCAACTCAGGGGGTTAGAGTCCCTGGGTAGACCAGAGGGGCAGGGCAAATACAGGCACAAAGTCTTCACTCATTCAGCACATGCTTACTGCATTATCACCCACCCAATATAATGACCTCTAAAATAAGCACAGGGCCTCCCTGGTGGCACAAGGGGTTAAGCACAGCACTGTGAAGCTATCCTCAGCCTCTGCAGCACAAGTTTGATCCCTGGCCAGCCAGGGAGCTACCCACATGGTGCAGCAGACCTCTCCTGTCTCGCCCGCTCCTCCCTTCAGCAGTGTCTTTCAGTCAGTCTGCCTATTCTGTTCCCCACTGTCTCTGGTGAATCCTTTCACTCCCCCACACCTCTGGCCTGTGCCCCAGTTCTTGCATGCATGCATAAAGAAATCTTTTTTAAAAAAATAAGCACAGCGACAGCCCTACCATAGTGCGGCCTCAAAGCCACACATGCAGGTCCAAGACTCTGGACCGGTTGGTATACTTGGTCAAAGTCCCAACAAATGTCCCTCCTGGAGACAACTGTCCTCAAAAGAGAAACCTAAACCCAACTTTAGAGTTCCAGGCCCCAGATGTCCATTAATAAGGAATGACTGCTGGGACCTCCCTATAAGATACCTGCACTCATTATAAACACACGGTATGTCTCCTAACTATTGACATGGAAAGAGCTCTGAGTTACAGAGCTAAATGGGGGTTAGGAGAGGGTGGGGGGGGAAGTAAGGTGAAAAAACATTATGGAATAATTTCTTTGAAGAGCACGTGAATTTCCAGGAAAAAAATCTTGAGCCATAAATCAAGCTGTCAACAAAAGTCATCTCTGGTGGTTAAACTAGGAGAGATTTTTTAAACTTTTTACATTTCACATCATATTGAAATTTTTATCAAAATCATGTATCGGTTCTAATCAAGAGAAACTATAAACCAAATTAATATTTTTAGTATGATTTTTGAAAAAAAGTTTCCTGTAAAATGCAAATTTCTCTGGGTTGGGTCCTGCAACCTGGATTCTAGCCCTATTAGCTCTCAAGGCCATTCTCTCTTCGGGGGCATTTGCCTAAGTTCAAAGCTGCCTGCCTCCTGCTCCAACTGTTTATACTGCCTCCTAACAGACAACAAAGACTCAAGTTTCAGAACAGTCCATTTCTTGGTGCCACCTGAACAGATGGAATTTATAAAAAAACACTCATCTAATCAGTCATTCCCAGCTAGAAACTCTTCCTTGACTCCCCACTACCAAGTAACAGCAACAACAACAAAAACATTATTTTTAAAGAGCTTTCTGGGCACCAGAGGGTTCGTTGCCTTAGGCCTAACTTCTCCTTTAACATTCATAACTTTCTGGAGTTGGTACTCTCATAGTCTCCACCTTACAGATGAGGTGAAGGGGTTATTCATAAAACTGGGAAGCAGCAACCACACTTGAGAATGTGGCCTCTCAACATCATCTGAGAACGTTTTAGAAATTGAATTCTTGGGCCTCCCCGGTGGCGCAGCGGTTGAGCGCTGGGTTGCGAAGCTGCCCGCAGCCTCTGCAGCGCCTGTTTGATCCCCGGCAGCTCCCCGGCCACCAGAGGAGGGTCCCACATGGCACGCAGACCTCTCCTGCCGCCCGCTGCTCCCCTCAGCAGTGTACTTCGCTCCTTCTGCCTGCTCTGCTCCCCGCTCTGGCTCTGGTGAATTCTCTCACCCTCCTGCGCTTCTGACTGTACCCAGTGCTTGTATAAATAAATAAATAAATCTTTAAAAAAAAAAAGAAAAAGAAATTGAATTCTTAAGCTGCACTCCAGAACTACTGAAAAAGAAACTGGGTGGGGCCCGGGAATCAGCATTCCAACAAGCCGTCCAGGTGGCCCCAAGTTACCCTCAAGTTTGACAGCTCCAACTTGGCACACTGTGCTTCTTCCTTAAAGGTAGAGTAGTCTCAGGGGTGGGGGCGGAGGGAGAAGCAAATATTGTTTAAAAATGAACAATGATGTAAAAAATTAAAAAAAAGATTTGTTAAATTCCTCAGGATCATTAAACAATTCAGTTGTGAAGTCTTCAAAAAAAAAAGGTAGAGTACTCTCTCATCCGACTCAGTCCTTTATATGAGTTCAATGAGCCTCCTCTAGGAAGCCTGCCAAACCCCAGTCTGTGGATCTTCCTCATCTGGGTTCCCGAAGCACCTATCATGCCCCTATCACAAATGGTCTTTGTCACACTGACTTGTCATTGCCTCCACCGCTGGCCTAGCTAGGAAGGCCCTCTCCTTCATCCCTCTCTCTACAGCACCTGGAGCACAGCAGGCACTCAAAGACTGAATAAATGAGTAACCAAAACCGCAGTGGAGCGGAGGGGTACGGGTAGAGGGCGGGGAGATGAGAGAAGGGGGTACAGAGCTGACCTCCCAGGCCTTGTCCAGCAGTTTGTTCATTCTGGAGCTGATTTCAAGGCCCAGTTTACTTTGACCACGTCCTCCCTGGCCTTCTCGGAATGGTGCCAGTCTCTGAGGGCACGTGTACATGTTTTGGTGTGTGGGGCAGGGGGTCAGGTGGGTGCTGTTTTCCTGGGCCGAGCAAGGATGACACACATGGGCCTTCTACACTGGGACCTCACCTCACTTTGGGGAGGTGCCCTGATTTCCCATGGGCTTCAGAAAATAAAGTTACTCTGCCTGGAGCCCAGAGGGAGTCAGCTCATGCCAGATAGCACTGCCTACCTCCAACCCCCAACCCTGCCCTTGTACCTCACTCTTAGCTGGGCACTCAGGCGTGCTTGGCTTCCGGACAGCCACGGGCGGAGGCAGGGGGCTGCTGGCCAGGGTCGCAATCACCTGGCCTTGGGCATTCAACAACAGCTGTGGGGTCACAGCCTGGACCTGCAGGCTTTGGGCTGGTGCTGGGGCCGCCACACTAGCCGAGTTCACTACCCACGGAAGTGTTCCAATAACCTGGGAGGAAACAAGGCAGGGACCCCAGGTGTGAGGGCAGTGTCCAGTTCCACCCCCAACCCAAATTCCCGCCCTGGCAGGAGGAGGGACCTAGACAATTCATCTAATCCTTCTGGACTTCACTTTTCTCATCAGTAAAGTGAAGGCACCACATTCCAGGAGCTGCTTCCTTAATTCTATTTCCAGAGCTCTGATGGAGCAGGAAGAGGCCTGCATTTGACTCAGACAGCCCTGGATGTAAACCTCGGCTCTGCCATGGTTTATCATGTGGCCCAATTTCTCTGAACCTCAGCCTGCAGAATGGGAATGAAAATCTCCACCAGGTAGATCTAGCTATACTCGAAAGGAAGTGAGATCATGTATGGGACAGCACCTAGCGCAGAACCTGTCACTAGGCGAGTGCTCCACCAATAAACCCCCAACTAAAGAGAGCACCTCTGGGGCCCCCCCAGTGGCTGAGCGCCACCACACCAGAGGCAGGACGGCGTTTGACATCCTGTCTGCGTTTGTATGACCCTCAGCCCAAACTGACCGCCCCCCTCAGGCTTTTCAGCCCCCACCCCTCAGCCTTTGACCACTTGCCTGTCCCTGAGCGTTGGTGAGGATCTGACTGCTGATCCCCGGCATGCTGGGAATGGCGTTGGCAATGACCGGAGTTGTAGTGAGGGAGCCCAGGATCTGGGTCTGTCCCCCGAGGGAAGCAGCACTGATCTGTGGGTGGAGGAAGAGCCTTGCTCAGAGGCCAAAGGGTGAGAAAGAGCCCAAGGCAGAGGGAAGAGAGCTGGGGGCCTGGGGCTGGGGAGAGAGGGATGCTGGGCAGGCGTGAAAGGTGGGCTGCAAGCCCATGTCCACCAGCTGAGAGTATCCAGAGCTAGGGGTCAGCAAGAAGGGTGGGGCCACAGTCATGGAAGAGTAACTCTGGCTAATCTTTCGGGCTGGGCCTGGGAGGGCACAGGAGCCAGACTGGAGCGCCTGATGTGTTTCTAGTCACATCGAGCAGCTCCACTGCCAAGCCAAGGGCCCCCTCAGACAGATACTGGTGGGGGCTGCGAGCCTCTAGCTCCACTTTAGTGACACTTCGTAAGTTTGCAATCTCTGGACATCACCCCACCCTCCAAGGCTGGTCCAGTGGTTCAGGCTCTAGAGAACTGGCCTAACCCTCTTGGCAGAGGGTGTCTGCTCTTGTCTGGGATGGACGGGTGGGCAGCGGCAAGGAGCAGGTCTCAGAGGGAACCCATCTCTGCTGGTGTGTTGGAAAAGAGTCGCATTCGGGGGCTGGTCCTCCACCTCCTTCCTCCCCTTTAGGAAGGGTCAGCGCCACCCTTGGCCCGGGATCCAGTCCTTCCCTGGTCAGTCCTGGGTGAGGGCAGCAGCTTACGATTCCCGGGCTAAATGCGAAGCCTGCAGGCTGGACGGTGATCTGTGGGGGGGTGTCCACCGGCTTGGGGGTGGGGGCAGTAGCGGCGGCAGCAGTGGGCTGCGGTAGGATGGCAGGCGTGGTCTGCAGGAGCGGCTGGGTCTGGAACAGCGGCTGGGGCTGGGCTGGTGGCCGGGACTGGGCGGGTGACGAGGCCTGCACTGGTGGGGCGGCTTGTACGGGTGCTGGGAGCGCGGCATTCAGCACGGCAGCTGCTATGGAGCAAGGCAGAGACAGGGGTGCTCAAATGCCTAGCCGCAGCCCAAAGCGGCTCCAATCCCAAGGGATCTGGCACAAGCATGAGGGGGGCCGGGCAGTAGGGCGGGGGACAGACAGCTGTGGCTCCCTTGATCCTTGCAGGCACATGTGAACATCGCTCATTCCCCCCTCCCGTGGGCCTGGAGATGTGTAGGTTCAAAACCAGAAGTTGAATCTTCTTGCAGTCATTCTCAGGAGGCTGGTCATGGGGTGAATTCTGGCGTGGGGGGAGAGGGGCAGTCTCAGACATCTGGCTGAAGTGAGAGAGGCCTCCTGGGCCAGCATGGTGCCATGGCCTAGAGTCCCGAGGTGGTGCAGCAGCTCTGTGGCCGGACGCCTGGGACACTGGATCCAGACTCCAGGGTTGTCACCCTGGGTGGGCCGTGGGTTCTGAGTCCAACATGGCAAGCACGCGTGCAGGGATGGTGTGTAGGGTGGTAGGGGGCCTGGTGCAGTCCTGGGGAGAGTTGCTGTTACCTTGGAGACCGGCTAAAGGTGGCTTGAAAATTCCCCCCGTAGGAGAAGCAGCGGTCAGTCCTGGGAGGGCAGCCACGGTTGCTGTAGGAATTGTCCACACGGCCAGCCCCTGCTGACCAGCCACTTGACCTGCAATACTGATGGGGATAAGAAGAGGTTGAGTAACTGCCCCTGCTGGAACCATAACTCCTGTCAGAACTGTGGCTAAGTTTTCCTGAGTCAAGACCTGCAAAAGCAAACAAGATTTCAAAAAGAAAAGAAAAAATAAAAAATCAACATCGACGGCACAAACACTGGGTCTCTTAGACCCAGTTGAGCACAAATAAAGCATTCTGAGGGCAGTGGGGGAAAGGCCACGTGAGGGTGGGGAAGAGACGAGCCCTAGCTGGAGGCCCAACCCTGAGGGGGTGCTGGACCTCAGGATTCTGCTTGCAGAGAAGCAGCCCAGATTGGGGTAGGGCCCACTTTGCTCATGGGACAGGAGAGGGTGCGGAGGCCCCTTTCACCACAGACTGCTGCCTCCCAAGCCCTCCCTGGCTCTTTGCTCCCAGGACCCATGCTGTGCTTTGTGGTCAGGGAGCTGGGGACGGGGCCATTTGCAACCAAATGGACAAGGGCCCACAGAGGCCTCCAGGATGCTCCGATGGAGGATATACTCCTGGGGGCTGCCTCAGAGATCCATGCAAGTGGCAAATGGCCACAGGGAGCTCAACATGCCTGGAGGATCCCAGAAACAGCTTCTCTCTGCCCTGGGTCAGCCCCCTGGCTCTAAGTGAGGCACTGTGCATGATCCATTAACTCTTGCAGGCATCCACTGGAGAGGCTGACAAGGTTATCATTCATTTAGCTATTAAACAGTAAGGCAGGGGGCATGAAAGAGTTAATGTCGTCTCTGCGATCTCTGCTGGACCTCAGGTGAGTGACTACCTGGCAAAGGCAGATCTACTTTTTGCAAGTGGGCCTGATCTGGGACAGGGATGAGGCCAGGGGTGCCTAGTAGGAGATTCCCTCCCTCAAGTCACGGCCCCTTCCCGGGAAGGTTCCAGATCCCATGGACAGCCCACCTTAGCTGTCCCATGCCTTGCTCCTGCCCACTGCCCTCTGTTCAGCTCCCCGGGTGGCCCTTACCTGGGGGGCAGCTTGAACAGCCAGTGGTGTCAGAGTCTGCGATGCCTGAGGTTGGCTTGGGGCTTGGCTGAAGGTGGCAACGGCAGGGGCAGGGCTTGGAGGGATCCCAGGGAGTGACTTCACTTCATGTGGCATTAAGAAAAAGAGGACAAGGAGTGAGTCTGGTGTGAGTGAAATGTCTTGTTTGCAGCTCGAAGTAGCAACTCTGAGCCTCACACTGTATTTCTGCATAACCTGAGACCAGTCACTAGCCTTCCCTGGCCCAGAAGGCAGCTTCCCAGTGCTACTGGTGGGAGGCTGGAGAGCCCTGTGCCAGCTCTGGAAGGCAGACCACCCTCGTCCCACATCTAGACAAAATGAATGCAAGCCTTCGAGCGGCTGAGGGTCTGTCTCTCACTTCTTGGCCCATCAGACACGTCAGTAAAAGAGTCTGAATGAACGTGTGTCAGGAAGAAAAAGAACGTAGCTACACTCAATGGGAGCAGCTTGAAGCTCACCAGCAACTGGGTCATTGTTTACCCCTTCATTGGGCTATTTTTTGGAAACAGGTGCTGGCAAAGAGAAGAGGCAAAGATTCCTACAGGGGAGGCCCCGAAAGCGACAGAAAATCAGAGGTGTCTTTGCCACACTCAGGATCCCAAGGACTCTTCAGACCAGGCAGCTTTGCTCTGCCAGCCCTTGAGAGCTGAAATCCAGACGAGCAGTTTCTAAAGGAACTTCCTGTGAACCAAACTTTTTCACCTAGGTTATAGCTTCCCATTGCTACCTTGCTGTATCAGGTGTGGGGACCCTACGGGGAAGGCTATTCAAAACCACACAAGGAGTAGAAGAGTTGCTATTTAATATATGGTTAGGTGTCTATTTCTGGGTGATGGGTATCAGACCAGGTCAGTGACCCCCTCATAGATTTCTAGGCCCTAATCTAGGCCTGTTGAATCAGAATATTCAAGACTGGAGGCGAGCAACCTCTCCTCTCTCTCTCTCCTTTTTTTTTTTTTTTAAAGATTTATTTTTATTTATTTATACAAGCACTGGGTACAATCAGAAGCGCGGGAGAGTGAGAGAATTCACCAGAGCCAGAGTAGGGAGCAGAGCAGGCAGAAGGACCGAAGTACACTGCTGAGGGGAGCAGCGGGCGGCAGGAGAGGTCTGCGCGCCATGTGGGACCCTCCTCCGGTGGCCGGGGAGCAGCCGGAGATCGAACCAGCGCTGCAGAAGCTACCGGCCGCTTCACAACCCAGCGCTCAACCGCTGCGCCACCGGGGAGGCCCTCCTCTCTCTCTTCTTTCTGTTAAACTCTCCTGTGATACAGCACACGAACAAAGTGGGAACCACTAACTTAGACACCCCCCCGCCATGCATCCCCAGCCCATGTTTTATTCTGGAAAGGCAGCAACCTAACTCAGGACTACCGTTACAGATGGATAAGAAAATCCAGTTTCTCTAAGGAATTACAAACAACAGTAGAAAACTTATAAAATACTAAAACAAAATAGCAGATTTATCTCTGCTATGGAGGGAAGACACATTTCTAGCTATGGGGGAAAATTGCAGAAGATAAATTATGAAAATTTAAAACATTTTGTTTGGGGGAAAATGTAATGAAACATAGAAAAGCCAGAAAGAAAACGAGAATGTGACAATGGACATAAATGATAAAAGCTTAGCATCTAAAGAAATGGAATGTTCACTTTATTAGGATATGTTTCCAAAGCTGGACCATGGGGTCCAAGGGTTTGCATATATTGGAGTTTTTGTCACTTCCAACTAGATAGCTTTTCAAGGAGGCTGAGCCAACTCATGGGACCACCAGCAATGTAACTGCAGATCGGTGGTACCCCCTAGTCAAGCACTTTCCCTGTCATTGAGAACAAAATTTTGTATTTTCCCACATCATGACTTTCTTCTATACGAACAACTGATTTCTCTTCAAAAGAAATTTGAATGGCCACACCTCAAAGGAAAAAGAAATGTTTAAAAGACCATACAGGGGCCTCCCTGGTGGCACAAGGGGTTAAGACACAACCTAGGAAGCTATCCACAGCCACTGCAGCATGAGTTCCATCCCCAGTCAGGGAGATACACACATGGTGCAGCAGACCTCTCCTGCTCACCTGCTGCTCCCCTCAGCAGTGTATTTCAGTCGAAGTCTGCCTGTTCTGCTCCCCACTCTGTCTCGGGTGAATCGTCTCACCCCTCACACCTCTGGCCTGTACCCAGATCTTGTGTGCATAAATAAATTAGTCTTAAATAAATAAATAAAAGACCAGTACAGAGACATTCAGAGTCGCACTGTTCATGATGTGAAAAACCAGGCAGTTTGACAATAATCTCATCTGTGAATCTATGTCAATAAAGGAAACAGGCATATGAAATAGCAGGAGTCACACTACACTGCCTTGGTGGCCGCAATTATGAAATATGTATGTGTGACAAGGACGAGATGGTAATATTTTTCTGATGAGTAATGTAGGACGAGACAAATCACTAGTCTTCATCATGAAAGTTTCCACTAGTTTTGTTTTAAGAGGAAACACTTCTTAAGATTGCCTACCTAAAAAGGTTCTACCAAGGCGCCACTCTAAGTTGACAGCTTTTTAGAAGGTACCATAAAATACCTACCTTCTTTGCTTGATGCTGACTACACTTCTTTACAGAGCGGATTTTCACGAAAGGCTTGAATACACAAGCCTCGAGGAGAAGGTAGGCACTAGCATCGGCACCCATGCTAAAGTGTAAATAATTAATTTAGGATCCATTTCTGAGAGGAGGTTTGGATAAAGAGCATAGTTAAGGCACCAAAAGAAATGAGATAGATTAAAGGGTGGAAAGGGATAAACCTCCCAAATTTTCTGAAACGATGTTCCACCCCCACAGTGGAAAGGAATAGAAATGGTGGCAGGAACATAGAGGCCGTGTCCTCCCTGCCTGTTCTCTAAAACACTGGTCCATGGGGGCAGGTACTGACCCACCCTGACCACAATGTGGGAGCAGAGTATTCCAGGTCAGGGGTAAATGTCATGTCTTTTGTGATTCCTTTATTCAAAAGAAGAGAAAAATAACCTAAGTTACTAGGGTCCGAAGTGAATCTGCATTCTGGTTTGCAGGTAGAGCAGGGATATGAAGTTTTCTTGTTAAGGAGCTGCTAATTCCCTGAAGCTTGTCTGTTCTCACTAGTGCTCTCTTGGCTCCTGCTCTTAGCCCAACCCCAGCAGCCCGGCTCTCCAATCTAGGGAGACAAGAGGCGATGCATCATGCAGCTCTGGGGGAAATGAGAAGGGAGGCTTCAAGCAAAAGATGTCTAATATGCAAGGTGTTAATGACTAAAGGGTGCCCTGTGCTTCGAGGGCAGTGACTGGTACAGAGCCCCAGGCTCCATTACAGCTCTGGCTGGTTCACAGGTATCCTGGGGATATCTGGGGGACATAATGGGGGTGCATCAGCCACATCCGTTCCCCCTGCAAAAGAATCAAACTCACTTCATCAATCTCAAGCTCAAAGGTCATCTTTGGAGAAGGATAGTACAAATAAGTCCACCAGGTTGACTTATGTAGGCCCAACTGGGAGTGAGGTTTGGGAATTCTCCAAGGTCCTACTTAACCCACATCTTTAGTCCAAGGTAGGTAAGATACCTTCCCATCTCCAGCTCCTGGCATGTCCCAGATCTGCCACAAAAGGTACTGAATTAGAAGGGCTGGCAGGATCCTGAAAGTCTAGTGCTCTCTGCATTAAGGTGTGGCCTAAGATGTGGTTTAGACCTAGGAGCCCTCTCTGTGGTTAATTCAACCCCCGTAGTTGAGTCCTACTACTCTCCTCCAACTGCACCCCGATCCACCCCAGTTTACGTCTGTAAGTGACTGAAACCAGAACTAAAGTTCTAGGGGCGAGGAGTGTAGTATCACCCAAGGAGCTGACCCAAAGTACAGGTTGTTGCCAGAAGCTGTCTAGTGGAAAGAAAAACATGAAGACCCTAAAGCCACCTCGGCCCCAGCAACTCATACTAGGTCCCCAGGGGGAGCACAGGAAGGAACTCAGGTAGGACAATGCCAGATGTGAACAGTGGCCTCGTACCAGTTGCCTCCGCAGAGGAGTTTGGGTTGTCTGACCCTGCTTCACCACCAGGCTCACTGGCTTCAGCTGGGCCTCCGCTCTGGGAGCCTTCAATGGCCACCCCCTCCAGTCCTTTGCCCTCCTCCTCAGTAGGGATCTGGGCATCCACTCCAACTTCCAGCACTCGAATGGTCTCATGGCCTGACATCACGATGACCTGCAAACAGAGGACAAGGGACACTGCTGTGGGGAGAGGCTGGCCGAGACTGGCAGGGGTCAGGGAATGGAATCAGAGCTTTGGGATACCAACCTTCTGTCCCTAGGACAGTGTGCCCTGTGAGAATTGCAGAGCCTGGGGAACCCTACAACCCCCTGACTCCAGGGAGTTCTCCCAAGTTCTCCCAAGTTTCAACATAAGAGAAAGTAGAGCTGATAACATAAGCTGGAAAAAGTCCCATGGAAGCAACCCCCTTAAGGATATTTCTATTGGCTCCCTGAGTGGGTCACAGTTCAGGGAATGGCCAGTGGCCTATCCCACAGACTTGCAAGGATTGCCTCCTGGCTACCAGGATACTGGAGTGTGGCCATGAAGACCTCACCACAGCATCCACAACTTAAGTGGGGCCAAGAAGCAAATCTTTCTTTATTTCCCTTGAAACCCTGGAGAAGTTCCCTCAAATATAAAGGAATGAAAAATGAATGAGTACTCCACAATGCTGAGTAACTTTTATATCTCATGATTACTTTATTTCCAAGACTCCGGGACAAAGGCCAAGATTTCCTTGCAAGCTAACTTCTTGAAATTAGAGTCAGGAATCTTGAAGATGGAGCCTCTCCTCCTCCCACCCCTGGACTGAAGCTTTGTGCCCCGTGGTGCTGTAGCTCCAGGCATGCTATCTGCTCTGCCTATGTGCATGCTCTGACTCTGAGGGGGGCCTCTACACCCTAGGAACTACAGGCTGGGCCATAGGCCTCCTCAGAGCATAACCCTGCTCAGCAGCCAACAAGGCCATCCAAGAATCAGGGACACGCTGTCTGCTAAACAGCTCTGTGTCCAAATGCCCCTGCCCTTGGCCTGTGCCCGAAGTCACTCCCACAACTCTTTCTTAAGCCTGAAAATTGGATCCAGCCAGAGATGCTAATGGAAGAGGTGACAGTTTGGCCCGTCAGGGGGGGATGACAGAAGTAACTCCCCGAAGCAGCTCCCTTTCTGACTCAAACTTGACCTCTAAGGGACTTCACACAAATTACATTTTAAGAGTTGTTAATCTTCATTCTCCTTTTAAAAATTATTTAAGTAATAAATGGCCCCTGCAGAAAAAGTAGAAAACGTGTATGTAAGGAGACAGAAGAAGAGTAAGTTACCCCGTGACCAAATCTTCCCCCCATGGGCTTATCCGTATTGGTACATTTTACGTTCACTTTTTAAAAGTCTCAGCTTAAATCCTCAAACTCAGTCCTTGAGAAATCCTAGCTGCCAACTACATCTGCAGAAGTGAAGTCGCCACGAACTTTGACAAGAAAGAAACCACGAGGGCTCTGTGGACTCTCCCCGCTTGCCCATGCCCTCTGATTCATCATCCTCTTCCTGCCCCGGAAGATACCTGCTCGTTGACAGTCAGAGACGACTCTGGCCCGGTGCCAGGATCCATGGTCCCTTGCTGATGTGGGTGACTCACGCTTTGTACATCCTGTGGGTAAGAAAGGGGGTGGGGAACAAAAGCCAATGTGACACCGTAATACACTTTTCACGCCATCTAGAAAAGTCAGAATTGCAATGGCAAGAACAGAGAAACAAAGTTCTCCCAAGTTTCAACAGAAGTAGAGGAAGCAGGATTCTAAGAACTTAAAAATTAAAGTGTCTGGCATCCCAGGAAAACCCACATCCAGGAACAGCCAAAGTGGCAAGTGGAAAGAGGGTCAGGTATCTGCCCCGAAGAGTTCCCCAGTCCAATAGGAGAGAAAAGACCTAGCAGAACCCAAGGCGACTCTGACCCAGACCCCCAGACCCCCAGGCACAGGTAATAAGCACTCCTGGGTATCCTGGTTTCTCCCTGAAAGAATCTGAGCAGACTTCTTGGAAGAGGTGGTAAAGACAGGAATAAAACAAACAACAGCAGTATCAAACTTTAATACATATGATGATCTCCAGGAGCACTAATTAAAAAGTGCAGAGCCCCAGGTTGTCCTGGACCAAATAACCCCAGAGAGTTTGATTCAGCAGGGGGATCCCAGTTTTCAGGTGATTCTATACGATGGCTCAAGGACCATGCTGGCCATTAACATTCCAGATGGTGAAGCTGCCCGCCATCTGCAGTAAGGAGCAGTAGCCCCTGTGAGATACAGGTTGTCTGGCTGGAGCCACAGACCATAAAGTCATAAGAGATACAGATAACAAAGGCTAGTAGGCCTGGGCACTTATATAGAAAAGAAAGCAACTAACATTTATTTTGAGTACCCACTGTGCACTTTCTGTAATGCTAATCCACGTATTACTCAAGTCAGCTGGGCGCATTGTTATCACCATGTTACAGTGAGTCACTAAGCTCAGAAAAGTGTTCTGGATTCAGCACCTTCCCCTTCCTCATCCGCTTTCACCCAGGGTTGTCTGTTTCCTTTTAAAATCATTTAAATTGATTCATCTAACATAAAATTCACCATTTTAGCCAATTTAAAGTACATGGTTCAGTGGAATTGTTGTGCAGCCACCACCATTCTTCAGTTCCAAAACATTTTCATCACCCCAAAAGGAAACCCTGTGCCCATTAGCAGTCACTCCCTTTCCCTATGAACCCTGGCCCCCAGCAGCTCATTTCTTTTGTCTCTATGGGTTTCCCTAGTCTCAATATTTCATATGAATGTGCTCATACATATGTGGCCTTTGTGTCTGGCTTCTTTTACTTAGTAGAGTGTCTTCAAGATGCATCCATTTTGTAACTTGCATCAATGCCCGTTGTCTGAGCTTGCTGCATCCTGGGGATGGCAGAGGGAGAAGTAAACCAAGATTTCATTTCCAGGATGAAAACCCATCAGACTCAACTGTGATTTTACCTAACACTCCATGGCCTGTGCCAACCCACCAGGTTCCTACACAAACAACTCAAGGAAACGACCTATGAGTGCAGCACTTAGTAATGATAAAGGAGAAGAAGCGATTCCTTTAGGTCTTACTATAGCATGGTGTAACATCTTCAAATAGAGAAAGGAAGAAAACCATCAGTCTTTTCAGAAAAACCCACCTTCAGCAGGAGAAAGTGTTTGTAATTTTAAGAAAATTTTAAACAAAGAGACAGTGAATTTGAACCAAGTACATATTTGAAAAATACCTTCAAGAACATCAATGCTGGGCCTCCCTGGTGGCGCAAGGAAAAGACAGGTTAAAGACAGAGCTATCAAGCTATCGCCAGTCACTGCAGCACTTGTTCGATTCCCAGCCAGCCATGAAGCAACCCACATGGCGCAGCAGACCTCTCCTGTCTCGCCCGCTGCTCCCCTCAGCAGTGTATTTCAGTAGATCTGCCTGTTTTGCTCCCCACTCTTTCTGGTGAATCCTCTTACCTCCCCTGCAACTCTGGCTTACACCCCAGTTCTTGTATGCATAAATAAATAAATCTTTATAAAAAGAGAGAGAGAAAGAGAACATCAATGCTTGTGAACCAAAATCACTGACACGGAGTCACGGAGAAGCTTCCAAAAAGAGTTTCTGAGTGAGACCCTTTCTAAAAGCATTAAGTGAAGGAAAGGCAACCTTGGTGAAGATGGCCCTGAAAAAGGCCTTTTTGGAGGTTAAAACTAGCCAACATATATAGCTCAAAGAAGGGCCTGTCTCAGTTACAGCTGTTGATATAGAAGTGGAGAAGCTGCAGCCAACTAATGCTTTACGAGTTGCAATCCGTTATGTCTGAAGGGAGAAAGAGATTCAACCTGGCTAGGTTGATGGTTAGATGACAAATTGCTACACAACAGCAGAGATAAAGAAGAATTTATAGGTATTTAATTCATAATTTTTTCTCTGGAATATTTTTGATGAGAATGGCAATTCATTAAAAGTCACACATTTTAAAGGGAAGATATAAACAATTAGTGCTTAGAGAAAGGTATTCTGATGAACACCAATGTAGGGTAATCAGTTATAGAAACATAAATGAAGTCCTAAAATGTAAATTTAATAGTTTGAGTAACGTTGCCAAAGAAAACTTGATATTTAAAGAAATGAAAACAAATTAAATCATGCTTTTAAAAGTTGGGACAATTCTGGAAGTCAGTTTTAACACATTGTTTTGTTTACCATGTTAAAAAGTTTTACTTTGAAAAAAAATGTTGAAACTCCAACTTGATGAATGTCTAAACTTAAACTGGTCTAAAAATACCTTCCTCTCTCCTAATTTTATAACACTGGCTTCCATGCATTTACCACATATTTCTATCTGGATGGTTAAGGAGATAATTAAACTCTTTTGTCCAAAAAAAATTTTTCCCTTTGTATGTCTATACCACGTTTTGCTTATCCATTCACCAGCTGATGGGTGTTTGGATGAATTCTACCTTTTGGCTATTGTGAATAGTACTTCTATGAATATCTACATTTTTTTCTTGAACACCTGTTTTCAGTCCTTTAGGGTATGTACCTTTAGGGAGTGCAATTGCTGGTTCATCCTAGGGAGGTTAGCATCTTTGCCCCTTGGCAGAATGTCGCCAGGCCAACCTCACAAGGCACTCCTTGAGGCTCTGTTACAGGGCCCTGGATCCTGGTCCTTATTTGTTACCTTCCTGCTGCTGAGTTTGTTACAGGACCCCTTTGAGCTCATGCTGCCAGGTAATGTCCACAGCCTGATGGCCACTGAGGAAAGACAATCAGTTGTCTGTTTTAAGAGAAGGGGTTCCTGTGATCACCCCAGCACTGGAACGCCTACACACACAGATCACAGGAGTTGCTCTGGTCAAAGTTAGGATGGGAGCCAGAGGTCACCCAGAGCCTCCCTCTCTGCTTCCTTTCTCCCCTGACATGAGTTTGAAAACATCTGAACCAAACCTGCCAAGGCACTTTGTTTGGCTAGCAAATGGCTCAGTTGTTTGTGATTTTCCTGCGCTAACATTAAGAAATGCAGGAAAATGCAGGGAGGTAATGAACTGCAGGTGCTGAAACCATGTGCCTACAACCCCAAAATCTACAGAGGTCCTGGACCATGCAGGACTTTCAATGGTAGGGGACAGAGTTAGCCTGCTTCTACCTATAGCTCTCCCAGCTTTGGGCTTAGGGCAACATTTCAAGATGCTGGGAGGAACATGGGAAATCCCAAACAAAACAGAGTCCACTAGAACAGCCTGAGAGTCTACTAGGAAACATGCTGGAATGCTTAGTCCTTGTTTATTGAACAAATACCTCAGGGGCTACTGGTCATTGGGAATCTAATAGGGGGAGAAAACATTCCCCACCTTTGCTAAGAAGCCTGGAGTTTAATATGGGAATCACTGAAATAAAAAAGATAAATACAATACAGTGTGTTTAAGAACCCAGTGGAGCACAGGGTGGTAGAGGATCCACAGAAGAGACAGCTAATGCAGGTTTGTGTGGCCCCTGTCCCCTTGCTTCTGGATGGCATGTGTTTCAGACATAAAATTTTATGTACAAAGAAGAGTGTGCCTTGTAGAGCAAAGTGGAACTTGTATGGGATTCCGATGTTTAACTCAGACTTATTTCTGTGGTTTCAATCCCTCCCTTAACACTCATTGTGGTTGAGGTTTTCAAAGTATAAATACCTTCTCGTTATTAGTCATTTTCAGGGGATGAAGGGTACTCTGTCGAAAATCAGCAGCCTCCAAAGAATGACTGGTTAAGCTGAAATTGATTTTACCAGTATTCAACTGAAAGAGAGTCACGTTTGTTATCACCCTTCATATCTTTGACATTGTAATTCTCCCAGGTTAGTCTGCTTGCTGACATCAGCACTTAGTTCTACACAACTCTTCTATTTAAATTGTGCACCCACTTACCGCTTGCAGAGCCGCCTTTCTGAAAGTCTATCAGGGCAGGAAGCAGGAGAGTGGTGTAGGTTGGGAGCTGGGGCTCTTCATTGCCTCCCTAGATGGTCTCACCTGGTACCACATCTATATCACCAGCTTGAAACTCATCTGGAAACTTCAGGCTCATCTATCCAGCTGCCTACACCTGCTGGTATCACCTCCTACTCCTCATGTTCAAGCTCAAACTCCTGATTTCCATCTGAAATTTGCCCTGCCTACAGACCACCTTTTTGGTCTCAGCCTTCATCCTTCCACAATGCCTCCTGCCAATAATGTTGTTATCATCTTTGCCTTCTTTCTCCTACAGTTCACATTCGCTCCTCAGCAAATCCTGTTGACTCTCCCTTCCAATATGCCCAGAATCCCCCCACCTCTTACCCTTACTACCCTAGTACAAGAACACCACAGTCCCTGCTCACCCTAGTATCATCTGCCCTTTTCTTAAACCACCAGACTCCGGGCAGACCACTGCCCTTTCAAGTGCCACTGCCTGATGGATTTCCTACGTGTCTTCCCACCCTTATCCACTGATGGCCCCAGGACCCAAATTTCCCTTCTTACCTCCTAAAGAATAATAATCATCGACAGTTTATTGGAACCAGGCCCTTAAACACATAGAATTTGGCTGAGCACCCTCTGAAGACAGACTGGGATTCATGACCGCAGCTTTGATATTTATTAGTTGTGGGATTTGGGACAAATCCTCTGTGCCTCAGTTTCTTCATCTGTAAAAATGAGAATAATAGCACCTATTCTATAAGGTTATTGTGAGGATTGAATGAATTCATGCATGTAAAAAGTTTAGATCACTGCCTGGCACATACTTAGAAATGGTAGATACTATAATAATTTACACACATTATCTCATTTCAATTTAGAGTAGCAGTTAAGAATCTAAGTTCAGCTCTCAGTTCCACCATTTCTTAGCAAGGACCTAACCTCTCCATTTCAAATACAGTTGGGGAGAGTACTATAGTAAATTGCATAAGGGTTCAATAAATGTTAACTGCTGTTATTCAAGTCTATTACCACCGTATCAGAGCACAGAGCTCCGCAGTTAACAGATACTGAAGCTTGACCAATTGTGTGACTGTCTCCAGGTGGGTACTTGTCTATTTCTTCAGGGATAAATAGTAAGAGAGCTTACCTTGTAATTGTTGTACAAAACACTAAGAACGACTGGCTATTATTACCTCCTTTTTTATAGACAAGAAAGTTGAGGATCAAAGAGAGGCAGGGTATGGGTTTCAGAGGAAAACCGAGATTCAAATTCCAGTTTGGCCATGAAATAGCTGTGCAAGATTTAATCTCTCTGAACCTTAACACTGTTTTTGGTGTTCTTTTTAGATTTTTAAAAATTTATTTATGCATAAGATAAGTGGGTGTAGGCCAGAGGTGTGGGGAGGTCCGGAATGAGGGCTGGTGGTGAGAGGGTTCACCAAAGTGGGGAGCAGAACAGGCAGACCTACTGAAATACACTGCTGAGGGGGGAGCAGATGAGCCAGGAGGGGTCTGCTGTGCCATGTGGGTCAGCTCCCTGGCCTGGGATCAAACTCAGGCAGCAGTGAGTCCTGATAGCTTGATAGTGCTGAGATTTTAACCCCTGCACCACCAGGCAGGCGCCCAACACTGTTAGTTTTTAAATGGTGATTACATGGGTAAGTCTTAAAGGTTTGTTCAGAGATAATATGGATCATGTAAATAAAATACTTAGCATGGTACTTTATTATGATCCCCATTTTTATTTGCAGGGAAACAGAAGCAGAAAGTGGTCAGGTGACTTGCCCAAGGACACCACACACCGAGCCTCCTTTCAGGAAATGGGAGAACCACTGAGGGCAGCTGTTCTGACCCTCCAAAATCAGGTCACATAGGAATACAGAAGCTCTCAGTTCTGCTCCAGACCCCTTGCAGAACCTTGGATTCATGGGCAGAGATAAACGACTTGCTAAGGTGTTGGTAAACCAGCTAGGCACACAAGGGCTAGAGGAAGGGGAATTGGAAGGGTCGGAAAGTAGTGGGTGACTTTATTTCCCCTTATCCAGTTTCCCATTTGTGACCTTAGTCAAACAGTAAAAACCAGTTTAATAAGGACTCATTTAGATTTAGCTTCTCCTCCTGTCCCCTTCTCTCATGCCATCATTGATTCATCCCTGGTAGGGTGAAGAAGGGGCAAATGAAATGTGAAAAATAGAAAGCAGATGTGCTCCCCCATTAGTCTGTAAGCTCCAAGAAGGCATGCTCACTTATCGTCAAAATACAGTACCTAGGGTAACACTTGGTACATAAGAGGGTTGATGAATATGAGCTGAAGACATAGATTAAGAAATCAGGTCATATCATTTACCCCCCCTCCTCATATTTTCTACCTTCTCCCTCAAAAGGAACATATCCTAATCAAACTTCTTGCTCCCATTTGCACTAAGGGTATTTTAAAATGATTTCAAAGACACAGTACTGTCTAATGAACCCTGAGCACAGCCCTGTCCTAATGTTCCCACCCAGCTCCTATTTCCAGCCTTCTCCCCCTTGGCCAACTTCTCCCAGCCCCACTCATGTGGCCTCCCTGACCCTCATTTTGACACAGAAAGAGCTTGAGACTTAAAGGCAGAAGTCCCAGCTTCACTACTGCTGCTATCATAGGTGGCCTCTTTAAGCCTTAGTTTCCTTGTCTATAAAATGAGGCTAAGTTATAGTTATAGCACCCATCTCATGGGTTAGCATGAGGGTGACACTGGTAACATATATTTAAAGCACTTAAAACAGGGCTTGGCACACAACAAACACATATAAATGTTTGTTACTGTTGTTATTTTTTATTGAGATAAAGCATGCATATAAAACTTTTTAAAATTAGAGAAAATGTTATAAAAATGTAAACAATTGGGCCTCCCCGGTGGCGCAGTGGTTGAGCGATGGGTTGCGAAGCTGCCTGAAGCCTCCGCGGCGCCGGTTCGATCCCCGGCTGCTCCCCTGCCACATGGAGCGCAGACCTCTCCTGCCGCCCGCTGCTCCCCTCAGCAGTGTACTTGGGTCCTTCTGCCTGCTCTGCTCCCCGCTCTGGCTCTGGTGAATTCTCTCACCCTCCCGCGCTTCTGACTGTACCCAGTGCTTGTATAAATAAATAAATAAATAAATAAAACTTAAAAAAAAAAGTAAACAATTACTATTAAGATTTTATAGTGAGTAAATCTTGGGGAGGAGGATAAATTAGAGAAGTAAATTTCTTTTGAGGTTTTTTTAATCTGAGAAAAAATAAGCCTTTCACTCTCTCTTCCTCTTTCTCTCTCTCATACACACTCACATGAACACACTGATTTATCTTGTTTGTTTTCATGTTTATGATCTACTTGGGAACAATCCCTCCAATCCTAAAATAAACAAAAACCTGACAGGGGAAGCTCTGTCCGTATTGTTCCGAGCATGGCACATAATGGGCATTTTTGTTTGGACTAATGAACAAATAAATGAAGTTCTCAGGTAGATACGCAAAGTAGCACCAGCTCACAGAAGTGACCACCCGAGCACTCAATAAACCTAGAATATATGGAATTATTGCTCAGAAGGCCTCTGCCTGTCAATGTTGGCGGCTTCAGAAGACCAACATAAGGGGAGGATTTATGCATAAGAACAAATGGAGACCAGCCCTACTTTTGCAACAAGGAATCAGAAGAGCTGATGAGGCTAAAATCTCTGCAAAGAGTTTCTTTTCATTTGCCCAGGAAGGCTTCCAGGTGGCTTTTCTTATTATCTTCCCCAGCCCGGCAGCTGGGAATATTCTGTGCATATTTCAGGCTTCCAGTCCGAGCAGAGTGGGGGAATCTACGCGCCGGTGCACCCTGAGGCTCCCTGGTCTTGCCAGGTGAGACTGCTCAAGGAGCACATATTGGGGGCCCATTAGTCTATTTATTAATAATAATATTGTTATTAAATATTTATGAAGTGCTCATGCTCTGCTCGACGGTGACCCTCCCACTTACTCCTCCATCCGCTCAGCGACGCCAGGTCCCGAACCCCAACCCCACCAGCCGTGTCGTGACCCGGAGGATTCTGACAGGTCGCCCTGGCGGCCCCAGGTGACCCCGACAGCGAGAACCCAGGCGTCCGGGGTCTCCCGCGGGGCGGCAGCCTCCCCCCGGCCGTCGGGGTCCCCTCCGGGGGGCACCCCACGGGCTCCAGGGCAGGAGCGGGGCGGGGCCGGGCCCGCGCCCCCCCGGGGTGCACCTGGCGGCAGCGCCCTCCCCCCCCTCCCCGGCGAGGGCGCGGCCCGGGGTCCGGCTGCGGCTGCGGGGGGCGCGCGTCCCGCTCCCGGAGCTCGCGCCGCCCGGGCCCTGCATCCCGGCGCCCCAGGCCCGCGGCGGTTTTTTTTTTTCTCTTTATCATAAATATATAAATTATGCTAATTACGGGCATTGCATATTAACCAAACCCGAAACCTCCCCTGCCCGGCCCCCTCCCCCTCCGTGCAAACCCCTCCCCGCCCCGGACCCCGCGACTTACCGGAGCCCTCGCCGAGCCGCCTGCGCGCGGGGACCCGGCGCCCCGATTAGGGATTCGCCTCACAGCGGGGCCGGGCCGGGGGGCCGGGGCGGCCGCCGCCCGCAGACAAAGGAGCCAGCGCGGCCGGCGGGGCTGGCGCGGCCCGGGAGCCGGTCGGGACCCGCCGCCGCCCCCGGGCCCCAGCCCGGCCGGGCGCCGCCGAGGGCCCCGAGCTCGCGCGGGCAGGGGAGGCCGCGAAGTGGGGGGAAGGGGGGCGGGCGGTCAGGTATATGTGTTTTTCTGCTTTCCCCCCTTCCACGGCCCCCCCTTTCCCTCCCCCCCTTTCCCTCCTTCTGCTACTTGGATTTTTTTAGCTGCTGCGTCATGAGCATAATTTATGCAACGGGCCCCGCCGCAGCTGCACCGCGCGCGCCGGCCGCCGGGGGCGGCGGGCTGGGCGGGGGCCGGGGGGCGGGGAGCCCCGGGCCGGGGGGGGGCGGGGAGGAGGCCCTCCGCGCCCGGCCTCGCCGGGAGCCCCAGAAGTTACCTCCTCGCACAGGAAAGGGGGTCGGGGGGCCGGTCTCGCAGCCTCCAACGAGGTGCCCCTTGGGGTTTCATTTTGGAAGGTGCGCAAGTGGGCGCCGGGGCGCGGGCGCCCCGACTGGGACACTTTGCCGCGTTCCTTTCGCCCTGGGGCTGGCGGGGGCGGCAGGACTCCTGGCTGCCCCCCGCCTCTGCAGGTGAGCTCGGCGCCTGCTGAACGCGGACAGCCAAGTTCGCGTCCCCTCCGAGCCCGGGCCTGGCCCGCACCCCGAGAAAGGCGCGCGGACGCCTCTCGGGGCCGCTGCGCCCCCGCTTCATCTCAGGGAGGGGAGCCCCGGTCCTTGAGGCTTCAGCCGCCCCCGCCCAGTAGCTGTGTGAGCTGTGCTAAGGACGCCCCCCCGCACCCCCACCCCACCCTACCCTGCCTGCGCCTCCTTTTTCATGAAACGTAAAAGCAAGACTGCGACGGAGGTTCACAGTCTTGGGGAGCAGGCAGGGCCCCGCGCCCCTGCGCCCCTGCGCCCCTGCGCCCCTGCGCCCCTGCGCCCCTGCGCCCCTGCGCCCCTGCGCCCCTGCGCCCCTGCGCCCCTGCGCCCCTGCGCCCCTGCGCCCCTGCGCCCCTGCGCGGTGGTGCTGGTGGCGGGAAGGGCTGGTTCACCCGGGAGCTGGGGACGGTAGGGAAGCGGCAGGAACAGGAGCCAGAGGTGGGGCCAGGGGTTGGCGGGCTGGAGGCTCCTTGGGCCAGTGGAAGGGGAAGGAGTTAGGAGACCGCAGGAGAAAGGGGAGCATGAGGGGAGACTCCTGGGGAAGGAGAGAGGCTCTGTGAATCCAGCGAGTGTGAGTCCCCCGTTGACGCAGCCTGCTGCACCCCCTCAGCCTGCCCCGCCCCCTCTACATGTATGTGTTATAGGACAGGGAGAGGGGCAGCCCAAACCCCGCAAGGGGACCACCCTGTTACATATGGACTTGGGAACTGGGGGTACATGTGTCGGAGGAACTTTGAAGAACATGGAAATGCTCTTCTTCAGGCGCTTCTTTAAGCTGCCCGGTGCACCCGGTGGCTCCAGACCATCACCACACACTTTGCCAGTATTTTCCCCAGAACTTGCTCATAGGGCCGAGGCCCTGCTCACGGAGGCTTCCCTTTTGAGACCTTCTCAACCTGCCTCTCCAGGAGAGCTCAGTTTCTGTCAGCTTCTTGTTTCCATGTAGGGTTGAGGACGTCCTGCTTGGGACAGATTTATGAATAACCAATAAACTCGAGTCAGAATACCTAGGGCTTAGTCCCAGCTCTCACACTACCTGTCTAGGCAAGCAATGTACCTTCTTTATGGTTTATAAAATGACGGCGAGGTCTGTAATCACTTAAGTGTGACTATGTGGAAAAAACTTAATTGTGAATATGTGAAAAAAACTTTTAAATTGTAAACTCTACACAATTGTAAGGTGTCATTATCTGTATGAACCCATTTTAATGACCTGTGAAGCTCTAATATATGTCAAGCACTGTACCTCAGGGATTTGGTTTGGTCTGTAGCGCCTGTGGTCTAGCTTCTCAGACTACAAATTCTTCAAAAGCAGAGATTGTGACTTACTCATTTTCCTATTTCCTAATGCTCTTAGTCTGAAGAAGGGATGCAGTATGCCCATCGAAATTGTCACTTGAAGGCAAAAATTCTTAAGTCTGTTGGTTTTGTGCTACACACAGAGCAAATGCTTTGGATAGTTTAAAGAAAGTAATGGATGTGAGCAAAGATGATCGGGGAAGAGTTGTCGAAATGTTAATTGTAGTTTTCTTTGGGAAAAGGAAAACTTTAATTTATATTGTATATAGTGCCTCTCTGGTGGCCTGGGGGTTAAGGCTCAGCACTATCACGCCTGTGTACCGCCTGAATTCGATCCCTGGCCAGGGAGCGAACCCACACATGGCACAGCAGACCTCTCCTGCCTCGCCCGCTGCTCCCCTCAGCAGTGTATTTCAGTAGATCTGCCTGTTCTGCTCCCCACTCTGTCTCTGGTGAATCCTCTCACTCCTCACACCTCTGGCCTACACCCAGTTCTTCGAAGCAAAAAAAAAAGTATATATAATTCTGCATTGCTTGACTTTTTGGCAATGAGTATGTTACTCTGCTGTTTAATTTTTCATCAGGGTATAACACGCACACAATAAAGTCCACAAATCTTAAGTGTACGACTTGATGGCTTCTTACAAACATGCACACAACAGGTCCTTGAGTGTCATTTCATTCAACATTGTTTCATTATAGTGTGATGGAAAAAAAATGATTGAGTCCCAGCTGGAGTTGACATGCTGTTCCCAAGTCTGGTGGGTTTCCTCCGGATACTCCAATTTCCTCCCACATTCCAAAGATGTGCTTGTTAAGTTCATTGGTTTGTCTAAGTTGTCTCAGTCTCTGTGTGTGTGTGTGTGTGTGTGTGTGTGTGTGTGTGTGCCCTTTGATGGACTAGATGTCCTGCCCAGGGTTGGTTCCTGCAGAGATAGGCTCTGGCTACCAGAGATTCTGAACTAAAATAAGTGGGTTGGATAATGAATGTACAAAAATGATTACTGAATATTGGTATATGATTATTGAATATTTTTAATGGTAATGTTTTTATGACCAGAAAAACACAATAAGAACTTAACTTTCGTTGTATCAGTTAGCCTCTGGTAAAATTGTACGTGGATTCATATGTTGAGGATGAGAAGTCAGAGTTGCAGTTTCCAAGAATCCATCAATGACATTAAGTGAGGACTTATTGTATATGTATAACCAACACCCACAAGAAGATATAAAACATTTCTAACACCCTTAGAAGCCTCCCCTGTGCTCCTGAAGTTTGATAAGCAACCAGTTACCCGCTCTCTCCTGCGTCTATCACTATAGATTAGTTTTGCTGGTTCTTGAACTTTATAGAAATGAAATCAGACGGTAAGTTCTCCTTTGTGTCTGGCTCCTGTCATTCAACATATGTTTTTGAGACAAGCGTGCTGTTGTGTCTAACAGAGAGTGCTTGTTCTTTTTCTATCGCTATATATACTCCATTGC